AGTATGCACATTAGTATGCACAATATATCATGACGCATGTACGTAAAAATGTACATTTTGTCTTTAAAATTCACAACACAAACATAAATCTAACAATTATTGATTTATATTTTTACCTGAGAACTTTTGGATGATATTTCTTTCTGAATGATTCTTCTGGATATTATTTTCTTCTTTACAGATGAGATGTACTCTTTTCCGCCATGCTTCCCGGTTAAAAATCGATCGTGAAAAATATCGATTACGTTCGAGAATCGTAGGAAGTATATTGCGTTTTTCACCGTTGGAGCGCTGTAATCGTAACTAGCTAATCCCAATGCGCGCGCTTTTTGAACATACACGAAACTAACTCGGGATAAAAAGTAAGAATTTTTATGGAAATGTTTATTTGATACGTCCAATCCTTTATATAAAACAAAACAAAAATATATTTCAATCAACTTTTTCTATTTTGAAACAGATGTAAATAATCAAATACATCAGATTTTCGTCTTTATTACCATTAAACCCTGTTCCGAATCATTATTTTTTTTTTTTATATTCTTATTTTATATTTCATATTCTTATTATATTTGTATTCTTTTACTAATGAAGCATCATTGTATTCAGTCCAATAAATTATATTATGCCTATATTGTCCAACTTTTCTCGTAATACTTCTTACTTATCTTAATGTTAAAATAAATAAGGAAGTGATCAGAACTCTGAGTCATCACAGTAAAATTTTTGTATACGTTAATATATGTACAAGAGTTGTCATTGTATAGTAGAAAATCAATGATTTCCAAGGCATTATGAAATCTTCTATCATTATTATCTGTATATTTGCAATTCCAATTAGAATGAGTCACCTATGTTAAATGTAGTATTAAAATCACCTACTAGAATGCAGTTATGTTCGGTGTCAATATTTTGAACAATTAAATCCCATTGATCTTGTGTAAGGCCTGAAGCTTTATAGCAGACATGTATCCAGTTCTGGCTTTGTTTATTTAAACAAGGATCACATAATTCAACTGAGTAATCTGTGTGCAAACCACGTTTTTACAGATAAGAATTAGAAATTCATTTTTTGGATGAATTCTGTCTTTCCTGAACTCTATGAATCTTGGGAAGCTAAAGTTGCATGTCCTTGTGAGTCAGCTATGTTTTAAACGAAGATGAGGATGTCATAATTGACTAAGATAGACTTTCTGGGCGCTCAGAGAGAGGAGTTCCAGAAGAAAACAATATAGTAGTTGCAGCTATGAATAACTTTAATCTAATTGGAATCCTCTTTTAGAAGAGAGAAATCTTCACTCACATCTTTTGGATAAGAACTGTTGAGGCATTTCACAATTTTCGTGATGATTTTTATCTTAAATTCTGGTATGTCCCTTGTGTGGTTTAATGCTTCTTCTAAGATTTTGGGTGTGCCATACGCGTCTAATAAGAACTTTGAAAATTCAGACTCTGAAAATTCTAGGTGATTGTGAGTAGGATCTAAGATGTAATCCTTAATAGGCAGCAATAGAAAGTAAATTTCTTCTAGGGAATTCTCTGCTCTGTTAACTATTTTGCATTTCTTGATTTCTTAGAAACAACTACTTTATATCTACTATGTTATTTTGACAGCATTTAAATCGCTAAAGAATTAGAGTTAAAATCATTAACTGTCTCTTGATGCATCTTGGTGGTAGTAGGAGGATAGTTTCTGATGCTTTTAGCTTGCATTTTATGTATCTGGGGTAACAACGTAGCAAAAATCTGGAACGAAAATAATGCAGAAAAAGATTTTGGCTGTTCAGCTTGGATGACTGGATTAGTAATTTCATTGTGACACCAGCTAGAATTATGTAAAAAGTAATGATTGGGGATCAAAGTTTTTGCAGAATTTAGCCACGATCTTTGTCCCTATATAAAAAGCAGGTTACTTTTTCTCCTGATAGATATATCCATTATAATGTATTATCATAATTTATTTAAATGAATTTAGGTATGTTATGTCTCCAGATTGAGTATATCTGACAACAAAACTGAAGATATGTGCATATTCTAGATGAGTCTAATATTTCATGATCTGGAGGATGTCTAATATTTCATCTGACAAGCTTTTCAAGAATGATGGACTACAAAATAAGACACACGTTGAAAAATATTATGCATTTGGATTTAGAAATGATTGGTTGAATTTCCAGGGAATGAGATTTAATGATTACTTCTGTATGATAGTTAACATGTCAGTCTTACTATTCTGATATAAGCAAACTCAGCTTTGAGAAATTTTGGATATAAATCTGACATTCGACAGGCCAATAAGTTGTTAACTTCAACATTGAATTCTTGAATTGAGGTACCTTCGATGGAGTCTAACATGATTGCTTGTTTTTGTGTATAGAACTGTGATTGTTAAGTAGCTTGAGCGTAAAAAGTTTTGAAAGAAACATTCTGAATGGGAAAATCCATGGTTTAAGGTTAAATACACTGAAGTACCCCTGTAATAAAAAACATTAATAGTAGATCAAGGATTAACTAAGAACAGATTTCCCTGAAAGACAAAAAGAAGTAAAAAGTATAAGAAAGTATAAGAATAAAAAAGACAAAAAAAGAATATTCATATAAGCTAGCATTTTTTCTCTATTAATACATATTATATATTGAAACGTAAATGGAACATACAATAAAAACTAAGAGTCTTAAATGTATGACGCAATTTCAAAACTTGACACATAAACACAAACTTGACCATTTAATTAAATTTTTTTAAGTAATTAGTGCAAATAGACTCGTGTCAAGCTTGGTTGAGACTAGTTACGATTACAGCGCCATACACTTCCTACGATTCTCGAACAAAATCGATATTTCTCACGATCGATTTTTAAGCGGAAAGCATGACGGAAAGTAGCACGCTTCATTTGTAAAGAAGGAAGTGTTATCCAGAAAAATCACCCAGAAAGAGGTATCATCCAAAAGTAAAGTTCTCAAGTAAAAATATAAATCAATAATTGCTAGATATGTATGGTTGAATTTATGGTTGGAAGATAATTCTAATGTTTACCACAGTATATCGTAGAGGGCGTACGTAATGTGATGTCACGCTATTGGGTATTTTATTTGGTAACTTTAGTGATTCTGCATCCAGTTTCTATTAAAAACTAATAGTGAAAATTTATGAAAGCAATATTATAATTAACGTATTATGTAAATATAGTACAAAGAAATGAAATTTACGTTTCTTTATTTAGTATTTTATATTAGATGTTATAATTTTTGAAAACGCGCCTGAATTTAGTTCCCGCCAAATTGTTCTCGCGCGTCATTCCATTGCCTCAATGTCGTTATTGAAATAGAATTTTGTTAATCATTGAGTAATCATTGATTGTTTCGTAAAATGGATATTGGAGATACACAGAGTACTCGTTCACGTGTACCTGACGAAGTTGGAATTAAATGCCAAAAACTATTTCAAGACTTTTTGGAAGAGTAAACTTTTCATCTTTGTTGAAAGATAATTAATATTTCAAATTTGTTTGTTTTTATTATTATTATTATGTGTTTCTATTTTATTAATTAGATTTAAAGAACATGGAATTGTAAAATATCTTAAACCAGCCAAAGAACTTATAAGTCCAGAACAGAGTACATTAGAAGTGACCTTTGATGATGTGGATGAATACAATCAAGTACTCTCAACAACTATTGTTGAAGAATATTATAGGTGTGATCCTACAATGTTCTTTCTACTTTTAGATTTACATTAGTTTTATTATTTGTTTGTATTTAATAATCTTTTATTTTAGAGTTTATTCATACCTATGCCAAGCTGTTAGTAATTATGTCAAAGATGTTGCAGACTTAAGAAAAGAAAAAGAATGTTATGTAAGCTTTGTGGAAGTTCCTACAAGACAAAAGTTAAGAGAATTAAATGCTTCAAAATTTGGCACATTGATACGTATATCTGGTCAAGTAATCAGAACACATCCTGTCCATCCAGAATTAGTGTTAGGAACATTTATTTGTATGGACTGTAATGCTGTCATAAAACACGTAGAACAACAATTTAAGGTATAATGCCAATATTGTCATTGATATATTTATAACAAAATGAGTACAATTTAAATAATTATTTACAGTTTTCCAATCCAACAATTTGTCATAATCCAGTATGTAGTAACAGGAGACGCTTTCTCCTAGATGTAGATAATTCTGTATTTATTGATTTTCAAAAAATCAGGATACAAGAAACGCAAGCAGAACTTCCTAGAGGCTGCATTCCACGTTCACTTGAAGTAATTTTACGAGCAGAAGCTGTAGAAACTATTCAAGCTGGTGATAGGTACTTTATTAAAAACAGTAACATAGTTTTAATTTTTTTCACAGTTATAATAAATTATTGCAAAAATTATTAACTTATTTATATATTTTCAGATATGATTTTACAGGAACTATGATAGTAGTACCAGATGTAGCGGTTCTTTCACTTGGTGGTGTAAAAGCTGATCTTAAAACATCACGTCGGAGGCAAGGAGATCAAGGCGAAGGCATAACAGGATTGAAAGCTTTAGGAACACGTGAATTAACGTATAAAACAGCGTTTCTGGCTTGCAGTGTCACTCCAACAACTTTTAGAGTATAACAAATTAATTAGAAATTAATTAACTGTTTTGTTAAGATTTCCTCTATGTATGTATTTTATTTGATTAATATTTTTACAGTTTGGAGGTACTGAAACAAATATGGAAGAAATTTCTCAAGAAATGATGAAAAAGCGAATGTCAGAAGCAGAATGGAATCGTATATATGAAATGAGTCGTGATAAAAATCTGTATCAAAATCTTGTCAATAGTTTATTCTCTGCTATACACGGTAACGATGAAGTTAAGAAGGGAATTACTTTGATGTTGTTTGGTGGTGTGCCAAAAACAACGTTAGAGGGTACCTCATTACGAGGGGATATAAATTGTTGTCTTGTTGGTGATCCTAGTACAGCGAAATCACAATTCTTAAAGAGTGTTGCTGATATTACACCAAGATCGATTTATACTTCGGGAAAAGCATCTTCTGCAGCTGGATTAACTGCTGCTGTAGTAAGAGATGAAGAATCGCCTGATTTTGTTATTGAAGCTGGTGCTTTGATGCTTGCCGATCAAGGTATTTGTTGTATTGATGAATTTGATAAAATGGATATCAGGGATCAAGTGGCTATACACGAAGCTATGGAGCAGCAGACAATTTCATTAGCTAAGGTTTGTTGATATTGAATAATCATATTAAATTTTTATATTACATATTTTTATTGGAGAAACATTTTTAGGCTGGCGTAAGAGCAACTTTAAATGCTCGAACATCTATATTAGCAGCAGCGAATCCCGTTGGTGGACGGTACGATAGGAAAAAATCACTACAACAAAATGTTCAATTAACGGCTCCTATTATGTCCAGATTTGACTTATTCTTTGTTATAGTTGATGAATGTAACGAAATTGTCGATAATGCAATTGCTAAAAGAATTATTGATTTACACTGCGATAATTGGCAAGGTTTTGATACAGTATATTCACAATCAGAAATCGCTA